TCCATCAATCATTCATCCATCATCATCATCATCCGTCCATCCAACCATCAATCCAACAAACAACAATCAATCATCCAGCCATCCATCCACCATCAATCACCCATCCATCCACCATCATCCATCCATTATCCAACAAACAACCATTAATCATCATCCATCCACCCATCATCCAACAAACCACCATCAATCATCCATCCATCCACCATCATCCATCCATCCTTCCAACAAACACCCATCAATCATCCATCCATCCACCGTCATCCAACAAACAACCATCAATCATCCATCCATCCATCCAACCATCCATCATCCAACAAACAACCATTAATCATCCATCAATCAATCATCCATCCATCCAACAAACAACCATTAATCATCATCCATCCACCCATCATCCAACAAACCACCATCAATCATCCATCCATCCACCATCATCCATCCATCCATCCAACAAACACCCATCAATCAACCATCCATCCACCGTCATCCAACAAACAACCATCAATCATCCATCCATCCATCCACACAACCATCATCCAACAAACAACCATCAATCATCCATCCATCCAACAAACAACCATCAATCATCCATCCATCCACCATCATCCATCCATCCATCCATCATCCAACAAACCACCATTAATCATACCTCAATCCACTCATCATCTAACAAACAACCATCAATCATCCATCCAACCATCCATCATCCAACAAACAACCATTAATCAACCATCTATCCAACAAACAACCATTAATCATCCATCCATCCACACAACCATCATCCAACAAAAAACATTAATCATCCATCAATCAATCATCCATCCATCCAACAAACAACCATCAATCATCCATCCATCCACCATCATCCATCCATCCATCCATCAATCCACTCATCATCCAACAAACAACCATTAATCATCCATCCATCCATCCATCCATCCATCCATCCATCAATCCATCCATCCATCATCCAACAAACCACCATTATTCATCCATCCATCATCCAACAAACAACAATCAACCATCCATCCAACAATCAACCATTCATCGTCCATCCATCCAACAATCAACCATTCATCATCCATCCATCCACCCATCATTCAACAAACAACCATCAACCATCCAACAATCCATCTAAGAAATGCTGCATGCTGCTGCACATCTGACTGTTTCTTGTTTCTGGGATGTCGAGGCGGTCCCGATGAGTCCTTACTTTGCGTTGTGCATGTCCAGAACGCCCTTCATCTTATCTTCGCCGTCGTTCTCAAAATACATGAGCTTGCTCTGCCGCAGCACGAACCAGCGGCGCTTCCAGTTGCGGCGGGACAGCGTGGACGAGCCACCTCCCTTCTTGTGCAGCCAGCCCTGCTTCAGAGCCTCCTGCTTGGCCCGGAACCACAGAAAGGTCTCGTCTTTCAAGACGCACCAGCGACGCTTCCACGTGTTGATCAGGCCGCCTGCAGAGGAAAACATAAACATTTGAATGCTTTAATTAGGAAGGAAGCGACTGTAGGGGACAGAAAACATAACAAATCACGTCTGACATAGGTCATGGTGAAAGACTCGTTGGGAAAGTATAAGTTTGAAGAGCATTAAGAGTTAATATCCACCATATTTTATGAAGTATTGTAGGAGTTACCTTTGATGTAGAGGAAGCTGTGGAAGTACGGGAGAGTGACGCAGCTGTAGACGGAGTCCCGGCGATACGACAGCTCGTCATCGGTGTCAAATCTGTCAAAGTCGTCCTCGCTGTCCTCAAACTGGAAAAACAACAACAAAAATGAGATTTATTACCACGTGGATTTCTCTTTTCATCTCTTCAAAGGGTTAATGTGTTGCTTAATCCAGATCATAACGATAAAGTTAGATGTAACACAGCAGATCAGGGTTTTCATGTGTCCTGTTTGATTATTTATGTCTTTCAAGCCTAAGGGTGGTTTCACAGTCAAATCAAAACCTTTTTTAGTGTGTGCACAACCTGCATTCAATGTCAATGCAAAGATGCAAATTGGACACTGTGTTGTAAAAGCCTTGAAGAGTTGAGTTGCTCCTGATGTTTCAGGATAAATGTCCTATCCGAACTTTTAAAAAAATCAATATTTTAAACATTTTCAGAAAATTGGAAATCTTTCTCATCTTGTGGAGAGACACGACATATCGGTTTTTTTTGCAACGAAATCTCATGTTTTGAGATTGATACTTTTGCAGGAGGAAAGACTGTGGAGGTTCTAGATACAGTAATCAGAATCAGAAATGCTTGGCAGAAATTTGGTGAAACTGCCAATTTAGCCCCGGCGGAGTCTGACCTACTTAACAGGTCTGTTAACTGGGCGGTGTGAACTGCATCTTTGGATAAAGTTATGTATGCAGGGTGTACAGTATGTTGTTACTTTTCAGCCCCCCTGACCCCAAAATAAGTGGGTAATTAGTCAGAGATTTGGGGTAATAAGTAAGAGATTGGGGACCCCCCACTGTCCCTGAAAGAGGTTAAAGCATTTCACCTTCTGCACAGCCGCACACACTAATAGGCCTATCCAAACACATTAGAACGACACAAAATAACACAACAGCATTCAATTAACTCTATAACTTCAGTGTATCTTTGTGCATTTTTATTTAAGCCCTGTTTCCACTAATCAGTCCTCCTTATTGGTGTTTTCCACTGTCAAGAGTTGGGAATGGTACCAAAATAACCGATCTTACCGGTCCTACTTTTTTTTTTAGAAAAAGATGAGCTTTGCTTTCTGTCTGAGCCTCTTTAGATGGTTCCTTCAAACTTGAAACTTCTCCTACTTTCACTCTGTAGAAGGAGCCGAGTGACTCCGCCTACTAACATTTCCGATCCAATAAATTTCTGCAAATTTTCCCTTAAATCCAACAACCAACATTCACAAACTGCTGACTTGTGAAAACAGATTATGATGTAACGTTCAGGGACCCTGGGACTCACTGATGACTGCGCCCCCTCCGAGCTGAAGCGGTAGGCCCCCGAGCTGTTGTAGGTTCCCACAGAGCCTCTGTAGTCAGGCGACCACTGGCCACTGCGGGAGTTGGAGAACGCCACGCTGCCACTGGAGACAATGGCGCCCTCGTCGTAGTCGTCCTGGTCGTAGTCTGAGTCTTCGTCGGGCGGTATCAGCTCCACCAGGTCGTCAGACTGAGCCTCGGATGAAGCCTGAGGGTGGCAGAAGGCCGAGTCCGCGCTGGAGGAGGCGCTATGGCAGGCGGCGGGCGCCGGTGGTAAAGGCAGCGGCTGGTGCAGCACGTTGGTGGTCGGGGGAGGGGAGGGGTCACGCCATCGTTGGCGTACGGGTCTTCTTCAGACGAGTCGTCGCTCGTTCGGATCCCGCTTGTCCTCTGCCCGTCTGAGTGCCCGTGTTCACTGGGGTTCGGCGAGTCTTTGAAGGCCTCATCGTCAGCGCCAAAGCCTTCGTCCACCTCCTCCTCGTCATTCCCTCGCCGCCTCCCGACATCTTTCTCTGCCTCCTCCTCCTCCTCGTCCTCCTCGCCCACTCCCAACGAGCTCTCGATGTTCCTCACGCACTCGTCGATCTCGTCAAAGTTCAGCGACTCCAGGAACTGCTGCGCCGCCTTGCAGGCCTCATCCTCCAGGCGCCGAAGCTCCTGGTCGCGGAGGAGCTGCAGCCGGTTGAGGGAGGCTTCGGTCAGAGAGAGCTCCTGACGCTCCTTCTGCCTCTGCAGCACCTGGATCTCCCGCTCCAGTCTCAGGATCTCCTCCACCTGAGACGCGTCCTGAGGTCGGACTGCCTCCTCCTCTTCTTCATCAGACGCCTCCTGGAGAGGCTCGGGTAACTCCGCCTCCTCCATCGAGACCGGCGATGTTACAGCTTCTACTGGAGCCGGAGGCGGAGGCAGAGCGAGAGATGCCAACTCCTCCAGACGTCTGGCCTCCTCAGCCTGAGGAGACGAGAAAAAATATGTGAAAACTATCTGATTAAAAAACTAATATTCCCATTAGCAAACCAAACCACCTCCACCCCTCAACCCTTACCTACTTTCCTTCATCCCTAGACCCTTACCTACTTTTCTTCAACCCTCGACTCTTACCTCCTTTTTTTTCTTATCTTTATCCCTCGACCCCTACCTCCTTTCCTTCATCCCTCGACCCTTACCTCCTTTTCTTCATGTCTTTATCCCTCGACCCCTACCTCCTTTCCTTCATCCCTCGACCCTTACCTCCTTTTCTTCATGTCTTTATCCCTCGACCCCTACCTCCATTCATTCAATCCTCCTCCCTTACTCTTCACCCCTCGACCCTTACCTACTTTCCTTCACCTCTCGACCCTTACCTTCACCCCTTTCATCCCTAGACCCTTACCTCCTTTCCTTATCCCTCGACCCTTTCCTTCACCTCTCAACCCTTAGCTCCTTTCCTTCATCCCTGGACCCTTATCTCCTTCCCTTCACCTCTCAACCCTAACCTCCATCCCTTCATCCCTTGACCCTTATCCTTGATCTTCTGTTTATATTTAATGCAAATGACAACAATCTATTCTGAATCATCTCCTGGTGTGTTCTTTGTTAGTGAAAACATAAACATCATAAATAATGACTTTAATCTTCTTACCTCTGCAGCGAGTCTTTCAGCCTCCAGTCTCTGTCTCTCTCTGCACAGACAACAAATAAAAACAAACACACATCAGCTGAGAGCAACAGACGGTAAGAGACTAGATTTACCAATACAAATAAAGTAATCACATTTCCCGCCTCATCCTGGCACTTTATTCCCAGAAAACTGCATCCAGGAGACGGGCTGCAGAGCTCGGGCTTCCCAACAACAAATAAGCATATCATCGTACATCAGTAAGTGTGTGCAGATGTTGATTCATCCTGTTAAACAATGACAAAGGCTTTCAATTTATATTCCTTCTCCACTGGCAGTGACTGAGTGGAGTCAGAGTCAGGACCCCCGTAGCAGACCTAGTGATCTGGCACCTCTCCAGCTACCAGACCAAACTTCCATACTTGGTCCGCACCGGGACTTGAACCGGCGACCCTCTGGTTCCCAACCCAAGCCCCTACAAACTGAGCTACTGCCACCATATTTCATACTAAATATGATGACGGCACATTAAGAGTGGTGGCGCTGGTGGCGCAGTGGTTAGTGCGCGCGCCCCATGTATGGAGGCTGTCGTCTCAAGTGGGCGGCCCGGGTTCACATCCCACCTGTGGCTGTCATTACCCACTCTCTCTCTCTCTCCCTGATTTCCGACTCTGTCCACTGTCCTATCTATCCATTGAAGGCACAAAAAGCCTAAAAATAAAATGCGAGAAATACCCGGCTGTAGACTAGGTCTGCCAGAAGTATGTGGGGTGCATAAATTAACCACTAGGCCACTGGTGCCCCTATGTAGTGTTTTTCTGCCTTTCATAGAGTCAAATGTATGAGGGACCTTTGTTGTGATATATGTACAAAGAAAAGAAGTGTCTTTGCATGTTGTTAATCGCTCCGCCTGACAGCGACCCGTGGTGTCAGGCGTCAGAAATAACTTTAAAAAAAGAAAGCCAATCCTGTCTCTGATGGGATCCTGTCTGTTTGCTTTTGCAGCTCAAAAATGATGCATCAATCTTCCCTTCAGCCTGATTCATTACCAGCTCAATCTCTTCACAGAAGCTTGAAAGTCAGAACTTACAAATCTCTTTTTAAATCTGCCTCCGTAGTCCTCCTCACCCTACAGATCCAAACTGTATATACAACATAAAAACAATATTCTGGAACAATTTAAACACAGAATCCTTCTACATGAGCATCCCACCTCTCCATCTCCTCTTCCTCCTTCCTCCTGCGGCGCTCCTCCTCCTCCATCCTCCTCCTCCGGTCCTCCAGCAGCTGGCTGAAGGCCCGGCGAGCCAGCTGACCTCGCACACGTTTCTGGAAGGTGAGCGCTGCCCAGCGGAGGAGCAGGAACTTCCTCCTCCAGTAGAAAGCCCGGTAGTTCTTTTGAATGACCACAATGCACTGCAGCAGCTTCCTGTACTGCTTCCTGTGTGGAAAAAAAAACATCAACACAATCAATTCACAAAGAGGGTTTTTATTTTCTTTCTAAGAAGATCAATGAATCGTTTGTTGAGTTTTCAGTCGTACCTCGCCATGTAGCCCATGACGTGAGCCTGGATTATCATGGCGGCTTTCAGCACCTCCATCTCCCTCTGCTTCTCCAGACGGTGCTCCAGAGACTCCCGAAGGAAGACCTGAAGGAGAGGAGGAGAGGAGAGGAGAGGAGACGGTTACTCACTGTTGTAAGATAAACACGTTTCTAGGATACAGTAAAATATTAAAGGATGCTGAGACAACAAACGTGGAGATAAACATTTGTTCTCCACTCCACTGTTTGACACACACGATGATGAATTCACGAGTAAAGAGACTCTCCCTCCCTTTTTTTAAAAACATCACCAGTGAAGTGAACAAAGCAGCCGACACAAATCAAATCCAGACCCTTCCCTCCTTTTGTTCACGCCGCTAAAGAGTGCAGATTACCGCGGCGAGGTTCTTCCAGCTACATCTTTACAAGCTCTCAGTGCAGCTGCCTGATACAGGAGCCAAGCTGTCGTCCATTGATGGAGAAACGGGGGCCCCCGCCGCGGGACGCGGGGGGTTAATCCGATTAGGGAGGGAGGAAAACGAGATATGGGACGAGGTCTCGGGCGACAGAGACGGCGGGGAAATGTCACGGTGCTGCAGATTGGCTCTCTCCTGTTGAATCTGAAGCTACCCTGTAAGTGTGTGAGTGTGTGTGTGTGTGTGTGTGTGTGTGTGTGTGTGTGTGTGTGTGTGTGTGTTGAATCCTCGGTGGTGAAGCTCTAATGAGATTTTCAGGAGGAAATGTAAACATGTTGGGGTGATTTGGACGTCACTCACAAGCAGGTTAATTAACAAGGAAACATGCAAAACACAACACACACACACACACACACACACACACACACACACACACACACACACACACACACACACACACACACACACGCACACACACTTAAACAGTGTCCAATATGATTCTGACTTGTTGCAAACATTTTCATCCCAGTGAAGCGAGCGTCTAATCCTTTTGAATCGTTACTATGCTAATTAGTGCAACAAAAGCCGCTCTAAGCCTCGACACACTTTTTGATTCTCGCTGTTGAGGCCCTTCAGGGACCGCCGCCGCTCGCCCCATCACAGGTCAGGCCCGTGGAGAGAACAGAACCCAGAGTCACATCATTTCCAGAAAATTAAGTTTGAGGTTGTAAAAGAGGAAACAAAAAAAACAAAAAATCTCTGAGACAAAAGGCGGGACATGTGCCGAGTGAAAGGAGCGGGAGGCGGCGTTAGTGTAAATCTCACAGCGAGAGGCAGCGGGGACAAAGTGGACGAATCCCTCCGAGGGAGATAAGATTGATTTAGCGCTTTAGCAGCAGGAGGGGTGTCTTTGTGGCTTAGGTAAGATCTCCTAACAGGGGGGGCTTCTATGATCAGGGTCTGCACACGTTGTCCGGCTGAATGTAACTGACTTATTGATTCATTTAATTTAAGCTTATTATGCTCTGTCCTTTGTTTGTTTGTGTGAGACTTTGTGTCCAGGACTCCCCCGGTGAAAAAACGATTTTTGTCTCTCAATGAGAAAATTTAATTAAATACAAGCCAAAACATTTTCCTGAAAAAAGGGAAAGGCCTGACAGTCTTTAGTCTAAACATCTGGAGTGATTAAGTTTATATCGTCCGCTCATTTTGTTCAGATTGTGATTCTGTTGATATAAAGACAAATATTCTCATTATAGCGTCCTGTAGCGGACTCTGTTGCGTTTGTACGCTAGTTAGCTAGTTTTTTAACGGCATGTCATACTTCAGGAGACCCCCGCGCCTCCTTCTCGTCTGACGGGGATAGTCTCCCACTGTGAGGTGCATACGCCCCGTTTCCACCAAGCGGCCCGGTTTGGTTCAGTCCGGTACGGTAAACCCTGAACTTGCTTGTACCCTCATTCTGTAAGCTGAGTGTTAGCCAGATGGAGATAGCCGCGTTAGCTATGTAACAGTGTGACATCATAGCAGTCAAACACGGTGTAAACCGCTATTAATTAAGTTAAAGGAAGAAGAAGAAAGGGATGCAGTAAAAAAAGAGACCCTTCATTTTTCCTGAGGTAAGATGTGACGTAAATAAACAACGCGGAAGTAGCGGCCGTAGCAACAGAGTCCGCTACACGACGTTATAATGAGAATATTTGTCTTTATATCAATGCTATGTGTAATCCAATGGAATGACAACATCCACAAAAGAGAGGAGAACAACAAACTGACCAACAGAAAACAGAATGCAGACGTTTAATTAGAGCACGGAGATCGTAGAGGTCGCGTGCAGACACTTTAGCCGGTCACTATATAAATGTCATTCTCTTTCTATTGGCTCAAATTGAAATCTCTGGAGTATATGCTGCAGCGTTCAGACATCAGCTCACTCAGATATTCTGCAGATAAAATACTCGGGGTCTGGAGGAGAAACTCCGGGTAAAGTCTGCGCGAAAAAATGCATCTGTTTGCGTTCACACAGCTTAAAGAACCTCCAGGTAGCCAAATCTCCGGAGTTTTTCAGGAGATTTCCGTATGTGTGAAAAGGCTTCAAGAGTGACGCCCATGTAAGTAATGATGGAAATGTTTCCAAGCCAATCAACGGTCCTGATTCTCAAATGGATTGTGCTGCTTTTGTGCTCTCGATAAACCTGTGCAAACTAATCGTAAACACTCAGTGTCTAATTTACAGAACACACAAGGGTGTTAAATTCACCTCTTGACTGCAAACAGCGTCTCAGTGCGTCGGTGCGTCTCAGTGTGTCGGTGATGGTTGCCTTTAACTGGGGGAAAACAGTCCCGCCCCCTTTCTATGCAAATAATCATCATTACAGTTATCTACGTTCATTTTCTGTCCTGAATATGAAGCATGAAAACTGTGATAAAAAAACGGATTTCATATGAAATGACACTACCTGATGTTCTAACTGAGTGCTGTGGTGACTCTTAACTCAGTTTTATTTTTGCTATCTTTGGTACACACACGTACACACACACACACACACACACTAATGAACATTCATCCGTCCTCCCACAGACACATCCTCGGCTGTCACCTCTTGCAGCATCACACGGTCATGCTGCGATTAGGAATCTGTTTCCCCCATCTGTCATGTCCCCACAGCAAACACACACACACCTTCACACACACACCTACACACACACACCTTCACACACACACACACACCCTGGCAGTAGGTATATTCCTCCTAATCTAGTACAGTGGAAGCAGAGAGCAACAGACCGAGAGGATGAAAACTGGATCCAATAACTCCACGCTTCAGGTGCTCTGGACTTCAATTATTCATGATCACACACACACACACACACACACACACACACACACACACACACACACACACACACACACACACACACACACACACACACACACACACACACACACACACACACACACACACACACACACACACACACACACACACACACACACACAGGTACCTGAGCTCTGTAAAGGGTTTCACATCAAGCTGGAGCTGCGTTTGTGAGCTGTGAGAAACTTAATTGAGCTTTGAGTGAAGTTTAAAGTGAAATTGGCGTCCCATGGCGGTAGGTAAGCCTGTGTCCAATCATATTCATGTTAGCAAGGAGAGGAAAAACGGATAAGACGGCGTGAGCCAGTGGCTGAACAAAACGGCAGCGCGCCGAGGAGCCTCGAGGTTTCGACAGGAGAAAGTCAATTACGCTGCAGAGAGCTGGCCAGCGGGGATTTATTTCACCGCTGCAAGACGGGGGGAAAAAACACATCTGCCTCACTGAAACATATAAATACTCTTTCCTTATGGTTTCTGTGTTTAATTGACCCTTATATTTAAGTCCACTCTTCCCTAAGCTCAGAAAAAAAAGGACATTTTAAAACAACTTTTGACGAGCTCGGGTCTCTCACCTTGGTCTTGCCCAGCTGCCAGTCCGCACTGCTGCTGTCGTACAGGTAGAGCAGCTGGACGCAGCTCCC